CCCCCCCCCCCCTTCACCTTTTTTTCTATTATATTATTTACGATTGTTGCGACAACGGAAACGAATCTTAGTGCAATGACCTTATTTACCGGAACTCTTATTAATTTGTGTACATATTTATACAGGACGGTTTTAAGTGTAACATAATTCCGCACACGGCTTAATTAGCGCGACGCGAGATATATATATGTGTATATATATATATGTGTGTGTGTGTGTGTGTGTGTGTGTNTATACATACGTATGATCTTTTATCCGACGCGGGCGAGCTCCCCTTTAACTTTTTTAGCAATCAGACTTTAGGAGTACGATGTACGGGGTTTGCCCCGGTGTAAACTTGCCGACTCGATTCGGCGCAACTATTTCGCACGTGCATATTGTTACGGAGTGAGCCTCGACGGAAAAAAACCGTCATCGCGAGAAAAATTCGAACAGTGTTGAGGAAATGCCGCATATGTTAATATATCGACATATTATGTTCACCGACACACGTGAAAAAAAACACACACACACACACACACCAAACAACGATCACGCTACTGTTTCGTAAAATATCGATATCACGTTAATTGTACAATCGAATGCCGATTCGATACTTATTCAACGAGAAAGATCTTGTATATTATATTGTAAAATATATTTTTATCGCTTTTCCTCTCTATCTATCTAACTGTATCTTCTCTTTCTGTCTGTCATCTCTGTCATTTCTCTGTCGGCCTACATCTCTCTCTCTCTCTTTCTTTCTCTTTTTTCTCTTATTTTCTCTCTATCTCTATCTCTCTTTCTGTTTCCCGGTTTCATTATTTATATCGCGTACAAATTCCTCCCGCCTCTATGCCGATCGCCGATCGGCCGTACTGTTAATACTGTATTGCCATTATGTAATGCCATGCCGCCGAAGCCTTGCCATTTCGTATTTATTCGTTCTCGGAGTCTAAAGCTTTTACTTTTTTTACTTTCAATACTCGCGCACAATGCACGAAATCGTGCCGGACACGTACGACAATTCTTTCGCAACTTTGAAAAGGTACAACGCGCCGCCGGTGAAGAAGCGTTAGTTTATAAATATAATCATTAAGGTGAAATATACGACATTTATATCGAAATGCGCTGTGTACGTTCCTTCCTGGACTCACAATGCGTTTCTCCCCGCCGGGAACGGATACCACCTGTGGATTCGTGTGCGAGGGTTTGCATACAGATTATGGATAATTAGATGTCGAGGAAACTGAGAGAGAGAGAAAGAGAGCGTTACATTGAAATCGCTTGCGTTTCATCATCTCCGTTGTGATTTTGTTGCAAAATATTTAAAGCTACGTCCAACAGCATTAGTTCCGTGTGACGTCAGAAGCGAGAAGTGATGGACAGTAAAGTTAATTTCTTGCGACACAGATTTATTTTTTGATTTTCCATGAAAAACATAACAGTTTCATAATCCTGGAATCTGTGAAATATGCGGCAAACTAAAATGTCTGTCCGATGTATGTAGGTTACTAAATAAATAATTCCGTAAACAATCACTCGAATTCGCCACTTAATAGTGGAGATATCAAAGAGGCCACCTTCTCCTCAATATTTTTTCAGCCTTTCTCAACTGTCACGGCCGCCTGAGATTAGCTGAAAAATATATCATTATTCCAGGAATTATTTTACGATTCTGCGTGACATATCGAACAGACAAAGTTTTCCAGGTATATTTTACAGGTTTCAGTATTACAACATAGTCGATGGAGATCGAGCCGAGTCTTAATTTGGTTAAAAAATGTCAACATTCATGTCGTAATTCTTCCGACAGTACGCGAAAGCGCAAGGTAAAAACACCAATGCATGAACACGTACTTAACTCTTGACATTCTTTGTTTTGACCTTTAAACTTTGAACGTAAAATATATGCTCATGTTCAATATTTGTATATATATATTCTATGCTGAAAGTTTAAACATCCATATTTAAAGATCAAAACGACAAGAGTGTCCTGAGTTAGGTACGTGTCCATGCATTTACCTTAATGATTTTTATCTCAAGTGTGTTTGGTAGACGTCAGTCAGTTTATTGCGATATTATGAGAATAAATAAGAGAGACACGTGTATTGCACACACGTCGTACTCCATATATATATATATATATGCATGATCACTGCACGTATATCTCGGTGCTCGGCGTATTTGCTGCTCTATAAATGACGGATATGCAATTCAAATCAGGTCGCGTTTGTATATCCGATTTAATAATCGCGATTATGTTATTATACATAATAATCTCCGCGTGTCGCTCGTTCTTATTAATCTAATAACGAAATATCATTCCTTCAGAATGTGTATGATAGATCCTCTTAGCTAATGAGTTTAATTGCTCGACATATTATTGGGCGTGTCGCGTAGCTAGTGGGAACTCGAGCGAGCAATCTTGCTTCTCGAATGTGTGTGTGTGTATGTGTGCTCTATGGTGTGTGTGGGTGGCGCGCGACAGCTAAATTATACAAACACCGATTAAATATCATGTTCGTGCTGTGAATTCGCGTGATACCTTTACGAGCAATATCGGCCGCTTCTGACGCCAAGGAAAATCGTGGCGTGCTGCATATTAATGAGTCACCTAAAGCAACCGTGAGATATTAATATCACCGAAATGGCCGATCGTCGGCGCACTCGCGGAGCGATACATCACGCCAACGCACTGTGGTCCGAGTTTGATATTTCTTGGCCAAAAATAATTTTTTCAAGTTTCACCTGAAGTTGATATAAATGCAATTTTATAATGTCCCAGTACTTTTGTACGTAGAATAGCAAGTGGAGTTGATCGCACTATAAGCAAACATAGAGAAACGTTAAAAAATAATTTACTGCATTTTGCAAATGCACCAATGTGCAATGATTAATATTAATAATCGATTTCTCTTATTATGTAAAAAAGCGTTAAGGTGACGTTATCAAAAAGTGAATAGTTCATGAGATATTTCATATCTCGTGCTAAAAATCTGAGAAATCTGAAACATCTGAGACATTTTCTCATATCTATATTATCTATATTTTCTGAAATATTTGCTTGTTAAGATTAAAATGAACCATCCTATATATATTTAATAGGCTAAAAGCCTATAACGTACTATAAAGTAAGTATTTTTACACTATATTGTATTCTTCTTATTTCTGAAGCGAGATAATAACTAGATTTGTGGTTGAAATAAGCGTAACCTTACGATGCAAGTGTTTTCTTGCCAATATTTCAAGGAAGGTTTTAAAAATTTCTGAAAAAAAATTACAGTCGTGTAATAATCGTTAGCATTTACACTACCAAATTCTGTTTTATTCGTTTTGCGCTTTTAGAAAACAACTGACCTTTTTCAAATCCGTGTAACGAGTCCTATCAGCCTTTATATGAAGTTTAGGGAGAATTCGAAAATGAAAATTATTCAACCAAATGATATATAAAATCTTTCTCAAAATGATATAAATTTTTTTCTTATTGAAGAATACCATAAAAGAAAAAATGATTTTAGAAGAAACCGTTATAAAAAATGGAACAATTTTGTATTTATCTAGAAAAAATTAGATAAATGTTGAGTCGCTTACAAATAGTTACTTTTCTTTAAAGATTACATTTTCTGTATACAAGAAATCATTTTTATCAAGATTCGGAATTTTGGCCGAAAATCTTCACTTTCAGACCACTGTGCGTCGGCACTGAAAGAATGCGGCTTCATCTCGCGTGTATATCTGTGTGAATATGTGCGGCACATATTTTTAACGAAGGTTCTCGCATACGTCGCTTCGTGTGCAGGAAAAGCGCCATATCGATCTTTTCAGCTGTCCTAAAATACTTATTCTCGCCCACACCGTCCGTTCGTTTCTGATATGTGCGCATTTTCCGCTTGCCGGTTCGGCCGAGATCTACCTCGATCTGCCGTCCTGTCAATTCTCCGATTCGTCCGTGGATTCGTTCCGTGGACTCACCCGTTGAAACCGATCGAGGCACTAAGCTTGCTTCGTGTTTTCGACTTCGAGGAACGACGGTCGAGAGTAGGGTTGGACATTCACGTGTAAAATAAATATTGTGCACGTTGTGCTCTGTTACATTGTCTACTTAGAAGTTAGTATAGACATGACGTAGACAATACGTAAATCATGTGGACTTAATCTTAAAATCTACTGCACAATCCTGTGTCGAGAGTCTGCCGACGTGATATCTCTCGAACGTTTTCCTCGCGCAACTGAGAGGGCAGTACGGGGGGGGGGGGGGGGG